TTGGCGATTTTGCACTCGATGACTATGGGGTCATCATGAGGCCGCCTAACCTCTCCTCTATCTTTCTCGGAGATGTTAACTTCCGGAAATGAATATTTAGACGACTGGCCCTCATCCACTGAGTTGACCAGTTTCCTAATGTTATCCTTCGTGCCCCGGATGGTAGGCCCACCTCCCGTAAATCCACTGGCTATGGTTAGGATGGTATCCTCATCCGTATGGGATTGATTAGCCGGTGTTTTTGGGGGTGGTCCTTTTACTTGTTTGGTAGCACCCTCTGACTTGGATAAATAGGAGTTGAGAGCCCCTTCATCAGTGAGCAGGTCAAAGAGCCGCCTGAGGCTAAAACAGCCCTCAGTATCATGGCCAATTTCTTCATGAAAAAGGCAATATTTGCTCTTATCTCGGGCGCTCACGGGACTCTTCATGGGAGCCGGTTTTTCAAGATTCAACCGGTCCCTTACTTCTTTGAGAATGAAGGCACAATCCTTGTTGAATTCATACTTTGGCACATATGGATCCGACCTCTTTCTTTTCTGGAAAGGTTGTCCGGATGGGTTTGCTGCCCATACCCCCTTTCTCTTATTTTCTTCCTTTTTGGCCGGCTGGGTAGGCCGATTCTCTTTTTTGTCGGATCTTTTGTAATCCGTTGGAAGTTTCACAGCACAGAGTTCCATTGCTTGAATGTAAGCCTCCACCTTCATAAGCGCCTCGTGAAGACTAGAGACCCTCTTCCTAACCAAGTCAAACTTAAAAGTTGACCCGTCTTTTAGGCCTTTAAAGAAATCAATGTAGGCAACGTCATCAGACAATCCATGGATTTGGATCCTCATCAGGTTAAACCGCCTGACATATGACCGGAGCCCTTCCTTATCTCCCTGCTGAATTGCCCCTAAATCAAGGCTTGTTTTCTTGGCAGGAATATTCATAGAAAAGTTGGACGTAAACCAGTAGGCCAACGTCCTGAAATTATTGATGCATCCGGCTGGGAGGTTGCCAAACTAACGTTGAACAATCCCTTTCAATGTTCCCGGGAAACACCTACACCATGAGGCATCATCCAAACCCTGCAAATACATCAGGTTGGTGTATGCCATGAGGTGATCTTCCGGGTTGGTGGTACCGTCATAGGCACCCACCAACACGTTTTAAATTTTCGACGGCTGGGCCATCTCGGTGATTTCCCTGGAAAACGCCGTTGGCTGTTCCCCAAGGTTGAGCAGCCGGAGCTGCCAGTCCATAGGCTGGACAGGCGGCTGCTGCTGCCCCCCGAAAAGACCCGGCTGTGAATATGGAGATTGAAAAGGCGTGTATGGTGTCCCATGCAATGCCGGTTGGATGATATGAGGGCCGGATCGAGCGGAAACCTCGCTCGTCCGGCTGTCATTGTTTGATCTCGAGTGCCTCCCTGATGTGACATTGAAGCTGTCTCGAAAGGTCGATGTTGAAGCCGACTCGAAGCGTTGCTGAGTCTTTTTATCCTGAATGAGCGTCCGAGCATCAGAATAGACTTTCTTTGTTCCATCCGGCTGTATGTGCCGGACGGGTTTTCTGGCTCCATCCATGGGAGTGTGAATCTTTGAGAAATCAATGGGCCTAGCCAGCACCTTTGACTTCGGGTGCGGGGTAGACGCTCTACCTTTCACTGTCCGGGCCGTCTTTTTTCCAGGACGCCTTTCTTCCGTCTGACCCTTACGGGGGCCGGCTGTGTTATCTAGAATGCCTTTGATTTCCCCTTTGAAACTCATCATCATGCTTATGAGTTCATCCCTGGAGACTGGGGTGGCTCCTTCTGAAGCAGGAGTTAACCCAAGCGGTCCCCTGACAGGATGGTTTGGGCCTGTCTGTTGCTCTGCCCGTTCCCTTTTGTCTTTAGAACGAGTATGCTTGGTTCTAAAAGAACCATCGGCAGCGGTGTAAGTTTCAACCTCATAGTTGTCGGCTGTATCTTAGTCCGAGTGGACCTCGGCCTCACCAGCAGGTTGACTACCTTTACCCGGCAGTACAGGTTCTGAAGTCATCTAGAAAGTACTCTCCCCACAGACGGCGCCAGATGTTTGGGGGTTTTTTATGTGTCCTACGGGAGAGTTACAATTTCCTAGTATGCTTCTTCCTTTGGCTGGGGCTGGGGTGTTCCGCCTCCGAAGATTAAGTTAGTATCTTTCTTAATGAGGAATTAAGACAATAAATGCTTCTCGATTTGAGAGCGTTTGCAAGGGGATTTGTGTTTTGTTGGTGGTTGGAAAATGATTAGATCCCATAAATGAGGTCTACCCCTGCTATTTATAGTAGGGGAGAACTGTACCTCAAAAATGACACGTGTACAAGGACACGTGTCACAGGCTGATTAGCCTGTTTACTAACCGTTGATAGGTTGACACGTGGCAAGCTTTTATTGGGCCACGTGTCTAGGGTAATTTTACCCTAAACACATGACAAAAAATATAGTTTTGCGAATATATTTATTGGAATCGTCTCAATAAATAGATTATTAATTTTCAATTGTTATATGTGCCCAAAAAAAATGAAGTATTTATTGAAAAACGGAGGGAGTAATACAAAGACATATCAGCCAAACACTACAAAAATGACTTCTAAAAGTAACTCTTGTATGTTTTTGCCCACAAAAATGTAATGGCAAATTAGTTATTACTCCATACCTTTATATTATGTCTCTTCCTTTTCATTGTGTAAGTTGCAATTATAATACTAAGACGACACTTATACACGGATATTGATTCGCAGCTTTTTGCGTTCAATTAATTTTCTTTTGAGAGATTTACATGCATTAATTGGTATACAAAGATTTGCTCTACTTTAGCAGCTTTTTGGATCCAATCAATAAAAGATCAATCATTTACTCTTTAAATGTCAGTAGACCACCGGCACTGGTCTTATGAACAGTAGGACATTGTCCTTCCGTCCATACCCTCGGCTTGGAGTGTTATTTACGGTCTTGCCATTGTATTCTGATTTTCACTGTTTTGCAGCTTCTTTTTCCTCTTTCTATTCTTCTTCTCTCTCTTCGTATTCAGTCTATCCTTTTTCTTTTCTCTATCCTTCTTCTTTTCTCTCTCAATTTGCTTATTTTTTCATTTGGGTTTTTTTTCTTTTTCTTTGCTCTTTCTCCTTCGTTCGTTTGTTTGGCATTGAAGCTTATTATATGAGGTGATTTAGTGTAGATTTGTTTAGTTTTTTGGGTTTATTGATTTTTGGTCTTTACTGATTTCGATTGTTTCTGGATTTTTTGTGTTTTTTTATTTGAGTTTTGAATTTTACTGATTTCGATAGGTTTTTTTCATTTGGGTTTCTTATGTTCTTTGTTGCATGCAGTTGAACGCTTTGCTTTTGGTGAAGGCGTCAGTGAGCTGGGTGTATCTACTGTGAAGGTATTAATTCTAAATTCACAATTGATACACTTTATCAAATCAAATTAGGGGGTTTTTCACTTGGGTTTTTTTTTCTGTTTCTTTGTTCTTTCTTCTTTGTTTGTTTGTTCGGCATTGAAGCTTATTATATGAGGTGATTTAGTGTAGATTTGTTTAATTTTTTGGGTTTATGATTTTTGATTATTACCGATTTCGATTGTTTCTGAATTTTTTGTGCTTTTTATTTGAGTTTTGAATTTTACTGGTTTCGATTGTTTTTTTTTATTTGGGTTTTTTATGTTCTTTGTTGCATGTAGTTGAACGCTTTGCTTTTGGTGAAGGTGTCAGTGAGCTGGTTTTTTTTTAGATTTGGTTGAGCTAATTTAAATTAGAAAGTGTAATATAAAAACAGTGATTAAAGTGTGAGATTATATATTTTAATTGACAAATATAAAAGCATGCAATTGATGTTGGAGGTCTAACAATGGAGGATGAGGTTTAACAATGGCGATAATTAGATCTTTTGGCGGCTGTTTGCAATGTTGCATGCTTGAGAGTTGAGACGAAACGCAGGAAAGGGGAAAAAAAACCATGCAATTGGGTTATGTATATTAGTCTTTTAATTTTGTGAGGAGTTATAGTTGATTTGATTAATATGACAAATATAAGTGCATGTAGTTCATTAGTTGATGTTGAGTGTGTAACATCTGAGATTTTGAGTTTCAATAATGGCAGTAATTATATTTTTTTGGCTCTTTAGAGCACCCATATACAGAATCCAGAGTGATTCCAAAATACTTGCAGCATGGTCAGAGTCTAAGTAAAGGGGTGATGCATTGATTTGATCTAATTAGTCTGTTAGTTTTGTTAATCAGGCTTTGCTTTTCACATTGAGAAACAAGTTTTGGGGCATGCTTGGGTTGAGGTTAAATAATTAGGGAGATTAGTGAAAACTAAAAGAACGTTTTGTGGAGGTGATGTAATTAAGGGAGGAGGAAGGGATGGGGGAATGGCTACCCTCCAAATAAGGGTAATAGTTCCCCACCAGCCCACCCAGCCTCCCCCTTGGCCCTTGAGTATAGATTTCCCTAAAAATGAGGGTAACTACCTTACCTAGTGCACCTTCTCTTTAGTTTTACTTATTTTCTCCTTAGTTAATGAATTCCAACTCAAGAATACAGAAAAATAAGTTTAGACAAGGGCTAATATAATCCAGAAATGAAGGTTCAATTGGTTAAGTTCACATAAGGGGAAAGGGTTACCATTTTCATTTTACAACTAAATTTTAATTTTAGACAACTTCAAATAAGATATTTTAAGGTGAAAAGAACGAAGCCAATTTCTATCATTATCTTTACCTTTGTTATCTTTCTCCATTGTCATTTATTGTACTTTCTTCTGCTGTATTTGAATGCTTCTCATGAATCTCATCTCTAGGTGATTGATTTTTCTGTGCTGTAGCTCTCTTTTGGAAGATTCCAGACAGATGAACAAGCATGGTAAGATATCATAAAATCTGTAGGGACTGTAGCTGTTGTTAGGATCAGTACGATGGATTGGCTTGGTTAGTCTCAATATACAGAACATACTGTTTACTGGTCGGCTGTTTCATCTGCTATATCAGAGGTATTTCCTCACGTTGATGCTTGAATATTGTAGAAGTTCATGGTTTATCTTTTGTCTCTAGGTCTTACACTCACTTTGATTTCATAACACCCACCACGTCTATATATATTACCTCAAATCAGAGCTGTAGGATTCTTTGGAAAACATCATCTGCTGCATCATGTTTTTAGCTATCCTTCATAACCCTTGAGAGATTTTTTTTGGGTGAAGGGTTATGAATTCTCGTTGCCTCTCAATTTTGAGTGTCCTCCTAATAGATCTAAAGCTATATAAGAAGTTTTTGGTTTTCATGTTGACTCTTTGGGGAAGGATACTGAGCAATTAATGAAAAATACACTACTCCCTCCATGCCTAAATAATTGGCCACGTTTTTATTTAATAAGGCCACTATTATCTTTAATTTTGATTTTTCCCATAATATTCTTAGCTATATCCATAACAAAGAGTTTCAAACAAAAACAGTGGTGGTGGAGGTGTACAGAATATGGATAATTAAGTTGTTATTATTATAATATGGATAATTAATTGTTTGCTTGATATTGTTTATAATATTTTTTGATTTAATTAATAGCTTATTATAATATACTATTTAGAGTACTTGACATTACATAAAACAAAGATAATAATATAATAAAAAAAAGATATAAGTGTTTAATAGGCCGAATTGAATTTCTATTAGGTGTATAATTTAAAGTATTAATCACAACAAGACATAAATGAATATAATTCGGTTATAGATGTTTGATGCTAATAAAGTTATTTTTGCATATGAAGTTCGGTAAAGGTGTCGAAAGAAAAGTACTCGACATAGTGTAAGAAACATATGATATTGAGTTGGCTGGTAATCTCTTCCTCAGTTTTATCTTTTACTTCTTCTTCTCTTTGTTCTTCCACTTCTTCCTCTTGTAATTATGAAGATGAACAATCATCCGGCCTTACGCACAAGGATATGGAATGACTTATTTATTTAATACATCAATGTCATTGGAAGAAAAGTGCTTCACAGAGTGTAAGAAACATATGATACTGAGTTGGCTGGCAAACTCTTCCTCAGTTTTTTCTTTTACTTCTTCTTCTTGTTCCTCCACTCCTTACTCTTTCTCTCCTTCTGTGTCTCTCTTAATCTTTCTTTTCTTGCTTTTTCTTTTTCTGTTTTATCTTTTTTCTGCATTTTCTTCTTTGTCACTTTCTGATTGCTTAGTATCTTCCTCACCTTTCTGAACTTCGCTCCACCTTCGCCAACATTCCCTTGACCTTGCTGCACCTCCACTGACCTTGCTCCACCTTCGTCAGCACTCCTCAAAATGGGTGATAGACAAAAATTGGTTTAAGAATAGCAAAATATTCTGTAGTGAAAACAATGACCATTTACTTTAGAAAAATTAACTTTGAAGTGATTAATAGGCAGCTGAATCTTTTTATTTTTAATCCAATTCTCGTGTCTAGCCATCGGGACATGTTTCTTCTTTGCTAGATTCGCGCGCGCCATATAGGGGACATGTTTCTTTTTTGCTAGATCTGATTAAGTGTTAATTAGTACAATATATGTTGGGAATTCCCGTTAAGCTATAGTTCATTTGCATTATTATAAGCTCATCTGCCTATTTAACCTCATTAGAAGTAGTATAAAAGGGATAGATGCTAATTTTGTATGCATTAGGATATGGAACGACTTATTTATTTAAAACGTCAATCTCATGTATGAGGATGGTTGTGCTGTTGTAGGGAAAGGTGTCGGAAGAAAATTGTTTGACAAAGTGCAAGAAATATATGATACTGAGTTGGCTGATTAATCTCATTAAAAGGAGTTAAAAAGGGATAGATGCTAATTTTGTATGTGGTAGGATATGGGACGACTTATTTATTTAAAACGTCAATCTTATATATGAGGATGGTCGTCCTGTTGTAGGGAAATGTGTTGAAAGAAAAGTGTTTGGCAGAGTGCAAGAAATATATGATACTGAGTTGGACTTTTCAAATGTGTGTCAGAAGACTCACATTTGAATAGATTTGGTTTGAATTTGAATTTGAATAGAGTTAATCAATTATGAATTCAGAAAAAAAAAGAAGAATAATGTAATATACTTGTAGAGGATTATGAAGTGACGAAAGAATAATACCAGATGGAATTAGCATAAACTAAGAAAAATCAAACAAAGATTGGTTTTATCCAACTATCCTATATCGTAACAAAGACAACCTTGGAGTAAAACTCATAAAATATTGGGCTATCAATTATTGGTTTTGTCCAACTATCTCTTTTTAATCAATTATGAATTCAGAAAAAAAAGAAGAATAATGTAATATACTTGTAGAGGATTATGAAGTGACGAAAGAATAATACCAGATGGAATTAGCATAAACTAAGAAAAATCAAACAAAGATTGGTTTTAAACAATTATTGGTTTTATCCAACTATCCTATATCGTAACAAAGACAACCTTGGAGTAAAGCTCATAAAATATTGGGCTATCAATTATTGGTTTTATCCAACTATCCAATTATTGGTTACTTAGGATGGTTGTCCTGTTGTAGGAAAAGGTGTCGGAAGAAAAGTGTTTGACAAAGTGCAAGAAATATATGATACTGAGTTGGCTGGCAAACTGTTCCTTAGTTTTTTCCTTTACTTCTTCTTCTCTTTGTTCCTCCACTCCTTTCTGTTTTCCTTCTTCTGTTTCCCTCTTTTTTTTCCTTTTAAATTTTTCCCTTTCCCTTTTCTTTTTCTGCATTTCCTTTTTCTCCACTTTTTTGATTGTTCAGCATCTTCCTCATCTTTCTGAACTTTGCTCCACCTTTGCCAACTCTCCCTTGATGTCGCTGCATCTCCGTTAAGCCATTTCATTATTGAGTTTTAAACACCTTCATTAACAGCTTCTGGTTCCAATTGGTCTTTTTAAAGGTATGTCCCAAGACTCACATCTCAGAAACCTTGCCCGATGAGCGCCAGCTATCCTTGACCTTCACTCCGCCCTTTGATTGTTCGGCATTGAACTATCTTTATGTTGTCTGTAAGTTACTGCCTTGTTTTGTATTCTTTTAAATGCCTTTTACAATATAGGATACTGGTTACTTAGGCTGGAGTTTCAGTAGCCTGTTTTTTTTAGCTTTACTCCAAGGTTGTCTTTGTTATGCAAAAACTTGTTCATTCGCATTATTATAAGCCCATCTGCCTGATTAACAGCATTAGAAGTAGTTAAAAAGAGATAAATGCTAATTTTGTATGCACTAGGATATGTGACGACTTATTTATTAAAAATGTCAATCTCATGTATGAGGATGGTCGTCCTGTTGAAGGGAAAGGTGTTGGAAGAAAAGTGTTTGAAAAAGTGCAAGAAATATATGATACTGAGTTGGCTGGCAAACTCTTCCTTCGTTTTTTTTTTAACTTCTTCTTCTCCGTGTTCCTTCACTCCTTTTTCTTCCTCTTCTTTTGTTTTCCACTTTCTTTTCCTTTTATAGTTTTTTCTTTTCTTTTTCTCCATTTTCTTCTACTCCTCTTTTCTGATTGTCCAGCATCTTTATCACCTCCCTGAACTTCGCTCCGTCTTCGCCAACTCTTCCTTGATGTCACTACACCTCCCCTGTCCTTGCTCTACCTTTACTGCACTCCCCAAAATGGATGACAGACAAATATTGGTTTTAAAATAGCAAAATATGCTGTAGTAAAAAAAATGACCATCTACTTTAAAAAAAAAAAACCTTTGGAGTGTTAACTAGGCAGCTAAATCTTTTTGTTTTTTGTCCAACTGTCGTGTCCAGCCATAGGGACATGTTTCTTCTTTTCTAGATCTGAAAATGTATAGATCCATCTTAAGGTTATGAAAGTGTACAGGGTACAATTAACCTCATTCATTTTTTTTCCTCTAACATTTGTTATTCCCCAAAATGGGTGATAGACAAAGATTGGTTTTAAAATAGCAAAATATGCTGTAGTAAAGAAATGGCTAGCTACTTTAGGAAAAATAACCTTGGAGTGATTACTAGGCAGTTAAATCTTTTGGGTTTTTTTTAAGGTTATGAAATTGTTCAGCATGAATGCAGCTGAAATCAAAACAATGAAAGATCTTGTATGGCTCTTTTACATAAAACTTCTATTAAATTTACATATAACTTAAAAGAAATTGTAAATATTTTACTTATAAAGAATATTGTTAATAAAATACACTGATAATATATATACTAATTACAAATGTACTGTAGGGTGATGTGGTTGCCTTTCAAGCAATTGAACAAAAACTCAGGAAAAATACAACATTCTTCAAACTCAGTCCATCTAATTCCCTAGGTTCAAGCAGTGTTTTAGAATGGTCACTCAAAACAATTGAGACCGCTGAAGATGCATCCAAAAAGGATTTAACAAAATCAACTGTTGCAAGAAGTGAAGAAATTGAATATTCAGATTTAAATATGAATGTGGAATTAACACCAACCAAGCCCTATGTGAGTACTTCAGTTAATAAAGAAGATAATGTTACAGCTACATACGAAGATTCAACATATTCAAAAATAAGAGACAAAGGGAAAGATAAAATTTCAGAAACAACTTTCTGTAAATTCCCATTGCCATCAAAAGGTATCAATTCTAACACATATTTATTATAAAATAAGCTCTCTAAATTATGCATGGTAATTCTTGCAAATTAATACACCTATACCCCTATTTCCAGGTATTGTTATAGCTGATGAAGGCCATCGAATTGCTGACAGAAACATGAAAAACAAGCCCCTGAAACATTCAACTGCCGAAACACCTGCTACTGTGAATTCTCCTAAGGTTTCACCTGCTGAGTGGACAACACTCTGTCGCACATGCAAGAGTGGAGACAAACTGTCTCCAATGACTCCAGTACAAAATGAAGACACGAAACCTAACTCGGTTTGTGAACAAAGTGTTGTTCGAAAAAAACTCCGTCTCACAACACCACAATCTGTTGAAAATGAAGATCATGACTCTGCCACCAAGGACCCAACTAATGCTGTACCAGACAGTGATGCAAAAACGTCTACACCCAAGAATGATCATGTCACAGATCACTGAAAGATATTGGCAGGAAATAAAAAAAAAACAGCAATGTATATAGGTAAATGAACTAGCTACTATGAAAAACTTCAAAGGTGTGGTACTGTCACCCCCTTTTTATGAAAAAAAATTGCTTGCATGATAATTACATCAGTGACATCTATTAAACACGAGGAGAAAAAATCCTCTGTATATTTTGTATTGCTCCAGCATTGCATTAAAATAAGTTTAGATGAAGGTAGAATATCCAATGTAAATAGGGTTGCAATTCTGTTGAGTTAAATCTTTTGAAGAATTTTCTAAGAACATGTACAATAGTTAATGTTCCTGGAAAACACTACAAAGGGTAGTATGTTGATTATTAGAAAAATACACTGATGTAATGTTCATTCATAAATCAACATATATAAAATATAAATATTATGCTAAATTAAAAGTTTTTATGATTATATTTATCCCAAAATGCAAAATATAAGAAATGAGTGTTTTTTAGTATATACTTTTCAATCAATAGACAGGATACAACTTTACAGCCTCCGGCTGCTATTTTTTTACTTCAGCTTCATTAGTGGTTAATGATCCCTGTAGGACGTAGAAAGCAAGAATTAGTTATCGGAGACAGACAGACCTGTAAAACAGCAGTAGCCACAAATACGATTCTCAACCAACAAGGACAAAATGTAGTATGTGTTTATGTAGATATTGAACAAAAAGCATAAAAGAACAATTATGCAAATAATAGCAATTATTTCAAAACATAAATGACCACCTTTTGAACTAAACTGCTCCTATGAATTGGGCGTTGCCTTCAATCTGAAGTTAAGCTATTATGTTAACTTTATTCACTTGCTACAAAAAATAGATTTACCAACTTCTTTCTAATAACGTAATTTAAATCACATCTTCCTCATATAATAACTTAGAATGCACAATTTCTCTCTTACATTGCCTTTTAATACTTTAAATTCTTACAACATACACACACTACGTAAACATAATTACCGTGTAACAAAACCGCCGGATACAATCCTTACTAACAATAACCGCCACCATTATGGTGCCGCGCGCGAAGCGCGCGGGACCACAACTAGTGGAATTAAAAGTAAGCAACACTAACTAGCTGGTTATGCGACATCAATACACTAATATTAATGAGCTCAGCTTATAACTTTGTTTGATTACAACTAAATAGATCCAACTAGAGCCGTTTATAATGACATTTTTTTTAATTGATAATTTGTTTTTAGTTAGGTTTTGCTACTTTTGTTTCGTGTAATTTATATTTAAAAGCGAAATTAATTACATTACTTTATGCTCTAAAGTGGGGATAAAAATAAATAAATTTCATAAATCATAATAGTTTAGTGGATTTGGGCTGGTCATTTAAGTTAGAGTTTAAGATGAAAAGATATTTGGAGGTTTACGTGAGTTTTGCATTATAAATATCAATGTGGACTCGCGAAGGCGTGGATGCGGGGAATGGTTTTCTCGTTGCCATTCGTAATGTTCTTATAGATATTAGTCATGGTTCTCTTGACAAGTCTTGAAGTTTCTTATTTATGTCACAAAAAAAAAAACAGAGGTAAGTCTTGAAGTTGGTAAGTTCCTTCTTTTCCTAGACATTGGACTTCGATATGAAATGAATAAATTGGACTTGGACTTGGACTAGTTGGCCTAAGACCTTGGATTGGACACATTGGATTGCATTAGAGTAGAGTAGATACAATTGGAGAAGAAATAGGATAGCAAAAGAGTAAGAAGACAAGATAAACTATGACCAGCGGGTAACTGATTGGTAAGAACTGATTGCATTAACTGGTTTGACTAGCTGGTAACAATAATTATTCTGACTAGCTAGCTGATTGGTAAGAGCTGATTAAGTACACTTGTTTGGTAAAATTAGAGTTATAGCCATTTTGTAAGTGGAGCACATTAAATTTCAATTTAGAAAATTGACATTTTTATTTTACATATTTTTTTTTTTTAATGACAGGAAGATATAATTTCATCAACGAATAGAAATACAGCATCTACAATAACAATGAAGACTTGTAAACCACAAATTTAGAGAAATTTACATAACTTTAACAATCAAAATCATAACTAATTTGGATATTTGGCATAGCTCACACCCCACCGCTTCAAGCTTGACACGAGCAGTGATTTTCGATGTCTTTGCATCTTTTCAAGAAAAGACCTTTGCAATTCGCGCTGATGTTTTGATCGTAGAGTTGATGACAAACCCTAAATCTATATAAATCTAAATCACCTTCCAAATAATTATTAAAACCCTAAAAATAAAATATTCATCCATAGATGAGAATCAAAATCCTAGAATATGAGAAAAACCCAAAAAAATGGGACATACTCTCACCAATGGAGAAAACAAAGCAAAGCAAAACAAAACAAAAAGCAAACCAAGTAAAAACTGAATGAAATTAAAGAAAAAGGGTATGATATAGTCTAATTTCCGAAAATATTAAACTATTTCCATCCTAAATTGCCAAGGAAATTAAAACCCTACAGGAGAGCAGAGGGAGGAGAGAGAAGAGAGAAAAGGAGGTGGAAAATATTTCTTAGTCTATGGTTCACATTTTATTTTTACTTATATATAACATAACCATTGCAAACCATGCTACCACTAGGGATGATAATAGGTCGGATTCATATCGGGTGGAGCTTCACCTACATCCATCCGCTCCTCTCGATCTACCCGCTACCCGCTTACCCCATCATCCACATCCGATCCACCATCATCCGTGAATGAAACGGGTGGATTGGATGCTAAACTGGTTTTCTAGCAACGAGATTTTTTGAAGAAGAAAGATCTTGAGTTAGACTTGGAGATGGATCACCTGCGAGCTGAGAATGGTGAACTTATAGAGGAAAAGAAGAAACTCCAGGCCAAGAGAGCTTTGGTATAACAAAATGTCCTTGATCGAAGAAGAGAGAAGAAACAATTGAAGAGCCAAATATCTGAGGGTGCTTCACTAGTGCAAGAATCTTTGTCCCATTTTATGTGGGGTTTTGTGGTGTCCGACACCGCGCGGAAATTAAACAAAACTCCTAAAGGATCACATGCATAATTAATACAACTAAACAACCTAACATGCAATAATTAAAAGCAAAAAACACATAAACACACAAAGAGGGGGAGAGAGAAAGTAAGGACAAGACTTCCTTACCCTAGAATTGTGCTTCTCACAAACCCTGAGCACGAACACGAAAAGCTCTAGACACGCTAGTGCAAATCCTCCTTCTTTGCACACCCACGTGCCCGAACGGGTCCCTACCTCGTATCTTAGACGAGGCTAGACAAAAAAAAACTAGAGTATAACGAACGTAAAGGCTTGCTCACTCTTTTGGGAGATACCTTATTGAGTTCAACTCAAGTGAATAATCCCAACTCCCAAAGTTGGTATTTATAGGCAAAGGCTCCCAAAAACCTCAATCATATTTCCATGTGGGAGAAATGATAAGGTGAGAAAATTAGGTAATTAATTTAATTCTAAATTAAACTAAATTAAACTAAACACAAATCAATTAGCAAACAACAAGTGACAAGAGGAGAGGGAGGGTAGGTGAGGACCACAAGAGGAGGACCACACCTTCCCTGCTCCTTAAGGCAAATCCCCTTTCACAAAATAGGGTCCAACAAGCATGCGCCAGCTGGCGCTCAGCCTTACGCACCAAGGCACGCCTTGCTGGCGGCCCGGTGCTTGGCTGGGCCTGCCAGCAGGCCCATCGCTCGCAAGCGCCCGCAAGTAGGCCTTGCGCGCTGGCAGGCTGTTGCGAGCTGCTTGCTTGCGGCAAGGCCAGCCAACCCAGCAACGTGTGGTGCCTGATGTGCGAGCGGCTGGGCACACCAGCCCGTAAGCATGCCCGACCAGCAGGCCTAGCACGCATATGCATGCTGGCTTGCGGCACAGCCATGCCTTGCCACAGGTGGCCTTGGCTAGCCTAGCCCTTGCATGGCTAGGCTAAGGCGAGCTCAACGTAGATCCCAATATGAAGCTAGTGAAGAAGAAAATAAGAAAATTCGCATTGGAGCGAAACCAGATTATAAACGAAGAAGTGCAAAAGCTGCTAGATACAGGAAAAATAAGAGAAGTCAAGTATTTAAATTGGCTAGCTAACGTGGTTGTCGTTAGCAAGAAGAATGGAACATGGAGAGTCTGCATCGACTTCACAAATTTAAATAAGGCATGCCCCAAAGACCTGTTCCCCCTGCCTTATATTGATTCAATGGTAGATGCTACAGCTGGGCATGAGTTGTTCACATTCATGGACGCGTATTCAGGCTACAACCAGATCCTAATGCATCCAATTGATCAAGAGAAGACCGCCTTCATGATAGATAAAGGAATCTACTGTTACAAGGTGATGTCGTTCGGGTTGAAGAATGCTGGTTCCACCTACCACGAATTAGTCAACAAGATGATCAAAGACCAGCTGGGGGACACCATGGAAGTCTACATCGACGACATGTTGGTGAAGTTCAAGTAAGTAGCTGATCATGTAGACCACCTGAACCAAGCCTTTGACGTGTTGATAAAATACGAGATGAAGCTGAATCCATCTAAGTGCTCGTTTGGAGTATCTATAGGTAAGTTCCTGGGCCATGTAGTAACGCAAAGAGGAATCGAAGCTAGCCCAGACCAGGTTTGTGCTATTGTTAATCTTTAATCACCTAGAAATATCAAAGAAGTTCATAAATTAATAGGCAGAGTAGCTGCATTAAATAGGTTCATCTCGAGGTCATCAGATAAATGTCATCTGTTTTACAATGTTTTAAGGAAGAATAGAGGTTTTGATTGGACTGATGACCATGAGAAGGCCCTCTAGGACTTGAAACTCTATTTAATGTTGCCCCCTCTATTATCTAAACTTGCTGAAGGAGAGTCTTTACAGCTTTATCTTGCAGTTAGCACCTAAGCTGTAAGTGCTGTCTTGGCAAGAGAAGCTGAAAGTTAGAAGTTGCCTGTCTATTATGTTAGTAAAAATCTCCTTAGTGCTGAAACCAAATACTCATCACTTTAAAAACTGGTGTTAGCACTAATAGTAGCTTCACAGAAATTACGTCACTATTTGAAACTTACCCAATAGTGGTGAAAACTAACTATCGTATCAAGGTTGTGCTGCGTAGACCAAAATTGACAGGTCGAATAAGCAAATGGGCTATCGAACTAAGTGGATTTGACATCAAATATGAACCCAGAACAATAATAAAGTCACAAGTCCTAGCTGACTTTGTGAATGACTTCAACCCTGACCTAGAGCAGCAAGCAGAGCAAGAACTAAAGAAGGTTACCCAAGTTACAAATCCAGAAACCTGGAGTATGTACATAGATGGATCATCCAACTTTCGAGGTGCAGGTCTAGGTGTAGTGCTGAAGTTGCCACAGGGGACATGATGGTACAATCTATTTG